CTGCTCCAGCCTCCGAAATGACTCAGTAACTTTTACGCCTCGAGTCTCAGCCCTGCAATTAGCCACTTTCCCAGCGCGGCTCGGGATGTATTCGTCTCCTCTCTGCCTGACCCAGGTAACCGGCCCCCCCCCCCCCGCGCCCCCCCCCAAATTTTCCCCCTTCGCCGCAACAGACTTTTACAGTTGCAATGCAAAAAAAAAAAAAAAAAAAAAGCACCCCCCCCCCCCCCGATAAAAATAGTCATAACAGGGAAAGGGCGGGTTGGGGCTGGTGCGGGGCTGCTCGGAGGAGTCGCGTTTCTCTCTTGCTTCCCCCCCCCCGCCTTTTGTAGGGGTTTTTTGGGTGTTTCTGGTGCTTTTGGGGTTTTTTTCTGCTCCGCTTTCACTTGGGGCGCGGGGGGGGGGAGAAGGGTGGGTTGGGGGTTGGTTTTTTTTTTTTTTTCCGCGGCGCCTGGAGGTGGGTGGTGTGGGGAAGCCGCCGGCTTTGGGGCTGTGGGACGACACAGTGGGGTGCAAGGGGTCCCCGGTTGGGTTCGGGGAGGCTGGGGGGGGCTTGGCGCTGCGGGTTCGGCCTTGGCCGCGCCGCCTCTTGCGTAGCGTGAAAGTTTTTCCTTCCCCCCCCCCACCAGCCCGGCTGCACATGGTGGGGTGCAAGGAGGTGCGGGGGGGGGCGCAGGCTTTTTCTTCAAAATCCTCTAAGTTTGGGACAATTCGCAAGCGGCTGCGTCGTGCCGCGCTGGCGGGTGAGAGGGCGGTGGGGGTCGTGCATGGCAGGATGGGGGGCCACCCCCTCGGTGTCCGGGGGTGAGGGACGATGCCGGCCCCCGTCTGCGCGTAGGGGTGTCGAGGGGCAGCCCTGAGCCGTGTGCGTGGGGACGCTGGTGTCACTCCAGGCCACGCCGACGTGGCCTGGTGGCGCGCTGCGGGGTGGCCGTGCCAGGGCCCACGGCGCGGGCAAGGGGGGGTGTCCCCGAAGTCCCCCCCCCGGCAGCCGGTACGGCCACAGGGGGCAGACTTCGGGGACCCCCCCTCTTTGCCCGCACCACGACCGCTGCGGCTCTGCCTTTGCTCTGTCCTTATTGATCGCTGATATTTATTTAATTATTGAGCAGGCAGCTTCCCCCTCCCGGCTCGTAACCTCTTCCCTGCTGGCAGCCGCTGCCCGCTCCAAATCCGGCCTCGTGCCGCACCCCGCGAGGGCTCTGCTCTGCTGGGGGAGGGTGCTGCTGCCGGACCCCCGTGCCCGCGCCGGGGGATTCTCCTGCCAGACCTCATCCCTTGGGCCAGGGCTGCGGGCAGGATCTGGCCCCACCTCGGAGACTTGGACTCAGCTGCCCCGTGGGGGTTCGGGGAGGGGGGTCCCCCTCAGCAGCAGCGCGGCACCTGCATTGTGCCGGAGGGCAACGCAGGGTCCAGCCTCGCCTCTGGCTCTTCCTGGGTGCGGTGCAGCCTGTGAGGCTGGTGACGGCACAGGCACGGGCATGGGCACGGGTGGGCAGTGCTGGGGCTGCTCAAATGACCCTGGGGATGGTGCTCCCCATCATGTGGTTGACTTGGCAAGGGTCACAGCTCAATCTGTCTTTTTTTCTTTTCTATTCTCTGATTCTTTTTTCTTCTGTATTTTCTTACCCTTCTATTTTATTTTTTTCTTCCTTTCCTGTCCCTTTCCTTTTCTTTTTCCTTTCCTTTTTCCTTTCCTGTCCCTTCCCTTCCTTTCCCTTTCCTTTCTCTCCTCTCCCACCCCGACTCCGTCCCTCCCGGGGGTCCCACCACCTCCCTACCATGCCAGTCTCCAGCCGGTGCTGGGTTGGCAGAGCCTGTTGTTGCCAGCTAACAGCACTGGTCTGATGTGGGAAGCCGTGCGGTCGCTGGCTGGCCGGGCCGGGGCTGGCAGGAGCCGTTCTGCTCACAAACCCGTGCTGTTCCCAGCGCTTCGCCCAGCCGACGGGGGGGAGCTGGTTTTTCTTCAGGCGATCCCAGCCTCCACCCCGCCGCCTTCACGCGGGGAAGGCTCCGGTTTTCCCCCCCCCCTTGCCCTGGCGTAGCCTCGGCTCCGATCCGGCCCGGCTCGGATGGGATCAGACGTCGTCTGCACCTACCGGATCCGGCCCCCCCCGCCCCTCCCCCCACCGCCAGCCCAGCCGTTCCCATCCCAGCCGCGCGGCGGGGAGGCTCGCCCGGGCTCGGGAGCCGTGGATGGTGATGTGGATACATTGGAACGTGCGCGGGAGCCGCCCTGCCTCTGCCTTCGCGCATCTCCCCGCCGCTACCGCCGCCGCCGCCTCCTCGAGCCCGGCACGACCGCTCGGACCCCGGCTACCGCTCGGGCAGCCGCCCTTCCCGGCCAGAGCTGGTCCAAGCTGGGGCTTGGCAGCCCAGCGGCACCAAAATAGCCCTGGCAAAGGCATCGTCCGTGACACGCTCCCGGGCCGGGGCCTCGACCGAGTCTCCCGTCAGGCGAGGAGGGTGGCTTTGTGCCCTCCTCAGCTCTCTGTCCCGGCTCGGGGACTTCCTCCTGCTCCCCCCGGCTCACCTTTGTCCCCCGTCAGGGACAGGCCGGGAAGTCAAGAGGGAGCTGCCCGGATTAGCAGGGAAGCGGCACCGGCACCGCCGCCATGCTCGAGGCCTCACCCGGCCCACAGGGAAGTGGCGGGGGGGGGGCTCTGGCTGCCAGCACTCCGAAATAACCCCAGCGCTAAGCACCCGCCGCTGGCCCCCGCATGTGTGTCCCTTGGGAACCGCTGCCAAGGAGCCGGCAGTGTTTCCGGAGCCGTAACAGTTATCCCCAGCTCCTAGATCTGCAACAGGGTTGGGGGGGGAGGGTAGAATCTGGGGTGCTCCTGGCAGGGGACATGTGCAAATTTTACGGCTGGTGATGATCCTGCAAACCTCTGGCTCGTCTCTGGCACGTGGCGGTCATCGTGGTGTTCCCTGAGCCCCTCACCCTGGTACCCGTCGGCTGGGAGCGAGGTGAGATGGGAGCTGACTTCAAAGGCAGCTGGAGCGGCAGGAGCCGGGTGTCCCACCGGGATCTGGCCGGAGACCCTCTCCCAGATCCCATGGGTCTACTGGGGCCCGGGAGAGGGTCTCCGGCTGGGCCCCGGCGGGACACCCGCCTCCCACCGCTTTGCTCAGATGCATCCTTGGAGACCGGTTTCGGTGCAGAGACGATGCGCCCGCACTGCCCGACCGAGAGCCGGCAGCCAGGCACAAACCCCTGCGCCTGCTGTAGCCGGTGGCACCTGATCCCCGGGGGCATCGGGGAGCAGCCCAGCCAAGCTGGCCTGGCACGAACCTCTGTACCAGTTGAACACCGTCAGCACCCGCAGAAACGGGCATGCCGTGGTGCCCGGGGAGCGAAGCCGGGCCGCAAGAGGCATTGTGGCCACGTGGCCCGGTCTCAGCCGTGTCTCCCGGGTGCTGACGGGGATCTTGCCTCTCCCTGGCCACCGCCGGTTGGCTTCTGCGCGTCATCCGGCTGCCACCGCTGGCTCGGGCACGTGGCCGTAGCAGGGAGCTGCCTGCCGGGCACATCTCACCAGGGCATCCTTTGGCAAACCTCCTTCCCAAAAGCGCCACGGCTTTTCAGCAGGAGAGGGGACCGCCGGTGCTCACCCCCTCCACCAGTAGCTCCAGCGAACTGGTTTTCAGCCAGGAGCGCCGATCGGCTGCCAAAGGATGGGAGCAGCAAGCCGGGCACAGCGGGGGGAGAGAGGGAAGGTTGCAACACACTTTCAATTCTCCCATCTGCTGAGTATTGTTTGGGAAAAACAATGAGGCTGTTCTTTAAATGTAACCTTCGGGAGATCCTCGCTTTCCCTGCGAGGCGCCCGCCGTGCCGTGCCGTGCCCGCCTGCCCCGGCTAGCCCTGCCCTGCTGCTCACACCAGCAGCGCTGCTGAGGACCCCGCTGCTTCTGCCCCATCCGATCTTAAATCCTCACTCGGGAAAAATAGGTCCTGTTTTAAGTGTGGTTTATAAAGCCGGATCGGAGGGCTGGGATGGGCGTGCGGGATGGTGGGCAGGATAAGGCCTGCTGCACAAGAGATGCCGTCGGGTGAGAGCTGAGCGGCCGGGTGGCCGGCGCTTGCGCTGCACCACTCTCCACCGCGTCACCTTGAACTTGGCTGGGGCCTCGCACAATAAATCAGGCGCCCTCCTCCAGCGCGCCGAGGCGCCCGCCAATAATTCACCTTCCCAGGCAGCTCTGCCCCTGCCTGCGCTTCCCTCCCTGCCCGCGCTTCCCTCCCTGCCTGCATTTCCCTCTGTACCGGGGCAGGGAGTAAACCCGCCGCTTGCCCAGCGCTGCAAGCATGCGCGCGCTTTTGCAGCTCGCTGAACAAAGCCCAGCCGCCAGGGCCCAGCTCGCTGCCCGGCTATCTTGAAGCGAGCGGGGAATAGCTCCCTTCGGTGCTTTTTCATTCCCCCAAGCCCGGCTGGGCTGGGGATGGATGCTGGGAGCCGTAGCCTGAGCCTGCTTTGACCAGGCGGTTTTTCCCCTCTTGCAGGGGTGGCTGCGGCATGGCCGGTGCAGCGGGGTGTGGACGGGGCAGTGCCGGCGCGGCGAGGCTCAGCGGGCAGAGAAGCTGTGCCGAGGACCGGCCAAGCTGGCCGCACTCCGCTTGGCGAGACACAGCAAAGACCATCAAAGGCGGCTCCCCCCGGGAGCCCCGGGCAGCCCCAGCGTGGAGAGCTTGTGAGCCCCCGGGGGAAAAGTGCCACGGTGGCCTCGAGAGAGAGATTTGTCCCGGTCCAGGGCTGTGTGCGGTGGGGAGGGCCTGGAGGTGGGTTTGGCACCCAGAGGGAAAGGGGGGGGATGGTGTCCCCTGCCTTTGGGGGTGATGGAGGCAGGTCCCTGCAAGGGAGGGCTCTCTGAGGATGGCTCCGGTGACAGGGACGGTTTGCCCTGCCTGCTTGCCAGCTTTCTTGCCAGCGCCGCCTGTGCCAACCTTCCCTGTGCCCGGCCCCCTGGACACTTCCCCACAGCCTGAGGGGTGCCCATCGTCCCCCCGGTATCGCTGCCGGCGTGGCTGCACCTGTCCTAAGGACAAGTCGAGCCCTGGGTGGCAGGGATGGGGACAGTGGCGGCGATGGGACGTGTCCCCGGGGTCCCTTA